AAAGTGAATAAAATGACAGACATATCATCGTATCTTGTTTTGCACATAAACACGGAACCCAAACCTGTGGTAGCAGAAATGCGTGGTTACACTTCCATAAAATTTCACTTTTTAAGCATAACAATACAAAGAGTGACTTTGCTGCTTCTGGAAGGCCAGAGTGTAGCACTGCCTAATATTGTGCTATTTAAAATGAGGATATGCTGGAAGTGATTGGAATGAAAACTAAGGAACATGAATGGAGTCAATGGGCTTTGTGTGTGGGGATTTATAAATCTCGGCTGAACCAAGTCTTCGTGCAGTAAGACTAATATAGGCTGAGAAGATTCTTTTTTCCCAGTACATCTAGGTTCTCTGCTGTCTGGAGAACTCTTCTAGCATCTATGTTGTGGCTCAGAGTCAGCAAAAACAATTACTGTTGACAGTAGTTCCGAGCTTCCCACAGTCAGGAATTGCCTGTTTCATGTAGGTACTTTTTTACATTATATCCTGTAATTAAAAAAAAAAAAAAAAAGAAACCATATATCATTGCTTGGGAACAGACCAGAATGCATCTCCTTCCGTTGGTTGTTCATTAATTGCCAAGAAATTTCCTGTGCTCAGCAAGAGCACAGCTGATTGAGACAAAAGTCCCGAGTTGCAAACAAACAAGAACTAGCCTGTTCTTTTATTTTAGATTTCTTGTTTGTATATGTATGAAACTTTATATAAAAAGCAAGGAAGCTGATTTCTTTCTCTAATATTTTTACTAGAGAACAGAAAGAGTCTGTGAGAATGTCCATCTACTGAAACTACTGTTACTGAAATGACTTGGGATTTCCCCCGTGTATAGGCATTTTATTATGACCACAGCTCATTATAACTGTATTTTTTCCTGCTGGGAACTCTTGTTTTAAGCCGTTGCTATGTTTCAACAAGCATGCAACAGGAGCTTCATACCGTCTTCCATGTTGATCACAGTGGACAAATATACCAAGGTAAATTGCTAAATCAATGCAGCTCTGCAGATCATGTTGTGAAGAGCACCTGCAATGTGTTCGACATATTGCAGGGTGGTTTGATTGATGGGACATAATTAAATGGATTGATAAATATTTAATACTAGGAATAGGAGAACTGTATGTGCAATTGTATGTACCGGAGTGGCATAGAGGGATGGAGTTTTGCCAGTCTGTGGCATACTTGACATAAATGAGATCTTACTCCTTTTTACATGTTCAAACAAGTTCAGATACTTTGTGAGCTACAGCTAGTTTAAACTCCGATTGCTGGCTCACTAAGTGCTGTTTCTCAATGAGGTTGCAGTGCACCAGTGTTGCCCTCCCTCCCATCTGTCCTCTTCAGGCTAGTGAAAGACTTCCAGAGAAGTTCAGTATGTTGGCTTCACTTATAATGCTTATAACTACTGGGATCCTGAATGCTCTCCCTGCATGTTGTTACCACACTCTCACGTCCCAAGAGCCCCAGGAGGAGAGCTCTCCAATGGCTAAAATGCGTAAAGAGAGGTGTCAGGAAAGGAATTCTTGGCGACTACTCACTTTCCTTCTTTTAACCATGAGAGTCTTTGTTTTTTATTACAGTAAATGCTTTCATTTTTCTTTTTTAGTTTGCTAAGAATTCTATCTTTTATTTTTACTCCTTATAGTCTGTAGCATATATCTCAATGGGCACTGCCTTTGGTACTCCTGAGACTCCTAGTGAAGTTTTAGGGTCTGGTGGTGTTTCATCTAGCGAAGTAGCAAGAGTTTAGTGATTTTTCATCAGCGTACTGCAATGCTCTAAATAGCAACACTGACAAACACTGAAATAGAGATTTCAGACAAGGTTATTTTAATATGCATCCTTTTAAATTCAGTGGTCTCATTTATCTGTTTGACAGACGTTTAGAGATGACACTTCTCTCAATGTTTTTTTTTAAACCAATACTGCTGGATGCATATTAACTGAATATACATATTAAAAAGCACAAGGAACCGTGCTGAGAGTATGATATGAGACTAAAGTCAGCCACTTCAAAATTAGAAAATGTCATGAGTACTTTTGCTTGAGCGTGTGTGTAACAATGCTACTTCTACAGTATTCTCTTACTGCTGTTTTTACTAGGCTGTCACTGTTAGCAGCACAATGAATAGACAGTGCTGAAGGGATGTCTTGGGTGCGTTTTAAAGAGACTTTCCCTCATGGCTTAGCTGGGTCTTTGTGTTCTTTTGCTCCCCGTATCAAGCAACATTTGAATAACTGCTGACTTAAAGGACCTTCTCTGATCTCCTCCATCTCAACTCCACACAACAGACACAGAAGATCAGCACAGATCAGATACCCGGTGTAAAGATTACCTAAGCCTTAGCTAAGCTCGACATTAACTAAATTAGTTACGACAGAGAATGCCAAGCAACCTTGTCTTTGGATATTGCTACCTTTAACACCTAAACCAAAAGCAGATTCAGATGTTAGCAACTGATGCGTGTAGTCAAATAAACATTATAAATAATAGTAATAGCATGCTTATAGGGGCTTTCCCTTTTTTATTCTGATAGACATTGTTCTCTGATGGAAGAACAAAGAAATAGGGGTTCTTTATTTGCTTCTATTTGTTCTGCCTTTTTTTTTTATGTTAACATAGAGCATTATTTTCTAGGAAATATATGCAACATTTAGAGAACAGTAGTGTGGGTTTGTTATAAAACGGAGGTCCTTCTTCCAGTTACTGATAGGGCTTTTTTTGGAAAGCCCCTTTCATTGTATTTGAAATCAAAACACACAAAGTCTGAAATTAATGCATTCACTTAAAAATGCATGCAGGTTGGAACGTTCCTATTAAACACAACCTTTTCACCCTCTTCATTGCTGTTGCTTTTATGACAGATTTATAATAGCATTGTGTGACACAATAGTCTTTCCGAAAAGCCAGCAGCAACAATAAGCACTTTCCGTTTCCCATCGTTTTAAATATCTGGTTCAATCAAGAATTAATTTAAGAGTAAGAAGTTCTAAGAAGGATGGCAGCTGGGAAGCCTAGTTTCACTTTGGACATGTGAGATGGAGTCTTTCTTCTGAGGAACACTGGTCTCCCACTGCAGCCTTTCCCTCGGTGAGAGGGTTACTAGAATCTTTCCTCTTTATCAAAGTCGTGTCCTTCCGTGAAACTTTGTAAAACTTAATGACATTGCATCCTCAGCCAAATTTGACTGAAGTTGTCCAATAGGTTAAAAAATTATTGACACCATTGATTAAAAAGGAACTAACATACATATATATACAAAATGCTCAGTATGCTCGTTTCAGTCTTATTTTTTTTGGAGAACAGACTCGAAAACTCTCCCTGTTGCCTGTCCTGGGAAAATCTTTCACACACGATTTTTTGTACTCAGGTACTTAGCTTTTGTATCAGATACATTGACCTCAGCAGTATAACTTATAGAGGCTAAAACTTTCCAGCCTGTGTCTTACATTGGTTCCTGTCTTTTTGCTAGAAAAGCTTAGCGAGGAGCAGATCAGAGGAAAGAAAGAAAAAAAAAAAGAAAAACGGAAAAGCGGGGGGG